CGGCGACGTCGTCGAATGTTGCCTTTCAATATATATATATATATATATATATATATATATTATTTTATTATTATTTTTCATTCTGCCCGGTAGCGGGCGGTCCGCGTACCAGTATGCTGTCGGACTTGTACGTACCGGCCGTACCGAACGGTATCATTCGGTATTGCCTACCTTGATCAAAACTGCTTATTTCTATAGTCTCCTTGAACTTTGTAAGGTTGCTTCAAGAATTTAAGCTTTGTTGAGGATTAGACTTATTCATTTAACTTTGTTCTAGTAGAAGTGACTTATTTGAAGATGTTTGAGGATTTTCAATAGGTTCTAGGATTGGATATGGAGATAAAAATTAAAATAGAAGCTGCTAGAGAGATCTAAAGCTTTGTTGAATAAGTTTTTAACATTAACAATTTTATTTAGAGGAGATTTGATTTTGAAATTAGTTGAATGGTTAGAGTTTGGAGAATGAGCCTCTGCACCATATTAAGATTACTTCTTTTTGATTTGACCCTTCTTTTGTATCCCATTGCTGGGAGTTTTCTAAATTGGCATGCCCTTCTTTAGAGAACTTAGAGAGAATTGAGTAAAAAATGGATCAAGAAGGACTTAACTTCAACTTTTGTTCATCAAATCAGGACTAAATACAATCATCCATGCAAACATTTGCTAAAAGAATTATTAGTCCCAAATTCTAGTTGAATTATTTAACTTATGGAACAATTTTCCTACAAGAAATTTATGATATTGCAAGGTCCTATTATAGACAGGGACAAGGCTTATTGTCATATATAAGAATGTGAAATAAGTGCAAAAGAGAGAAATTGTAGGACAGAGAAAGGAAAAGTAGCCCTCCTTGTGCTCTTGCTCAGGCACCTTGTTGATATTCGACGACTTAGACAATTGTACATCAGGCTTTAGACGTCTCATTAATCATTATTCAATTTAGCTAATATAGAAATGTTGCTTTTTGAACTTTTAACAATTATATTACTTGTATGTAATGCCTGAAGTGTCAGAGTCTTGACCATTATACTTATTTTAGGATGCATAAATAAAACATGTATAGCATATCGATGGTTTGAATGCTCAAACAGTTAATGATGCATTGTCTTAGTTTTTGCATCAACTTTATCTGACATAGTGGTTATTTCTTCTTCTGCAATCAATTTAGAGGTGATATCAAGAAGTCAGCTTGTATTCCTTTTTTTTTTTTGGCGAGAGTAATATTTGTAAATATGTTTTAGATCTGAGCAAGACAAGGAACCGGAGCAAGAAGTTGTTGCAGAAATTGTGGGTGCTGATGCTTCTGAAGAATCTACTTCCGATGGTTAGGAACATTTAAATTATAATTTTGTCAATTGATATAATTTGAGCTACTAGTTCAAACATACTGTACTTATATATAAGTGTTTCTTTTGTTTGTTTTGCAATCTATGCTAATATAGTTCATCTTTCAGCTCCTCAGGAAATAGATGAATATGAACTTGTTGATCCTGTGGACATCTTGAACCCTTTGGACAAGTCTGGATTTTGGGATGGAGTGGTTAGTGCTTTGCTTATGTTATTTTCTGCCTATGCTATTTGTTGGTTCATTGTGCATCTGCAGTACCAGGTCTTAATGGTGGGCTGTATCTTTGCATCGTATTAAATGACAATTCATATATGCCATTGCGTTATACTAGAAAGCTGCAAAATGGTCTGAAAGAAGGGATGCTGTTGCTGAGCTTGCTAAACTTGCTTCAACTAAAAGAATTGCTCCTGGTGATTTTAGTGAAATCTGTCGGACCCTCAAAAAGGTATTCTTATGGTGTTTATAGTCGTAGACTTGATTTTATGGATTGGTATTTGCTTTTTTGATGTTGATTGTGGATCCATTTTCTGTATAATCCATCTGATTTTAGTGACTTGTTCTGATTTAGGGTTTCTGCTTTCATAACTTCAGTGTTCTGCAATCTGCAACGCCATGTTCCCTGAATTTATGAAACGGGGCTTATGGCTCTGATTTATGGATTAATTTGCTAAGTTAATACACAGTCTTTCAGAGTTTATTTTTTGTGCTCATTACTTTGGTTACAGCTTGTCACAGATGTGAATCTAGCTGTTTCTGTAGAGGCGATTCAAGCAATAGGGAATCTGGCAAAAGGTCTGAGAAATCACTTTGCTGCAAGTTCACGGTTTTTGTTACCTGTTCTACTTGTAAGTACTTGAAGTCTTCTTTGCAACCTTTTTGACATCATTAGTTCTACACTTTTGGTGTATCCTGTATCACTCTAGGTTATGGTTACTTGGTGTCATAAATTAGTCACTTGTACTATGTGAACTATAAACTGTTTGTACATGTTGATTTTATTTTTCCTTGTATGAAGATTGTAGTTTTTTCTTTCATAAAGTTCTCTTTTGGACCTACATTTTGCTGCAAATTTTGTTATGCTATATGGCTCATTAATATTTTCTTCTATTTTTCTTGTAACAGGAAAAGTTGAAGGAGAAAAAACCAGCTTTAACAGAAGCCCTTTCTCAAACTCTTCAGTCAATGCACAAGTCTGGATGCTTGACACTAGTTGATGTCATTGAAGGTAAGTGTTATATCAGAGCATGTCTGCTGCACCATCAGTTTTTAGTTAGGCCCATGCTTGCCACACTTCAGTTTGTACATTTTTAGTTAGCATGTATAATATACCGCATGATGTGGCTTTAATTATGTAAAATAAAGTACTCTTGTTCTTTTTTTTGTGTGTGCATTTGTTTTCATTTGTTAATCTTGTCCCTCATGCCTTCAATAACTTGAATTTTCCTAAACATTTCAAACGTTTGTTTCAGATACAGTTATGACATTAATGGTCTTATATGCTTTCATTTTTGGATTAAAATCAAGAAGAAATGATTTAAATCTTTAAGATCTCCTTACCAAAAATGGCAGTTGCTTTTCTTTTTTACCAGAATGGGGCAGCCTCATTTTTCTAAAAAGATGATGCCATTCCCAGCTTCTTAACTCATAAGTTGACTTGTCAACGAGGGTTCGAAGTTTATAAAATTTTGTAAATCAAGTTCATCCAAATCATATTCTAGAGATAAATGCTGCAGCCGCACGTGAACAGACATCTGATCATCTGGACCCCTGAATATATACTGAAGAAGACACTTGCAGAATAATCATCTCCATATAAACCTGAAATTTCCGTCTAATTGTGACAAATGGACTGCAAGTTTCATGTTTTGAACTGTTCTTAACATTAGAAAAAGTTTGAGCTATAACTAAGTTGGCCTTTGGCTTATCATGAGTCGTAAAATTACTAAAATTTGCTGCATAATGCATCCTAAAGCTACTAAAGCTATATTGTAAGATGAGCAATCGTGACTAGTTCGAAGACATTCAAGGTTTAAATCTTGCTCCAGTATTTTTACCTGTCATCCTTGTACTGACAGAATAGCAATAGCAATGTCAATACTGACCACCCTCTACCAATTTTGAAAGCTGAGAACTTCTAGTTCTATAGTTGTTGATTTTCATATTATCTTCTGAGTAACCATCAAAATATCTTTAAGACCTATTATGATCCTTATGCCAGAAAGAGTGTGAATTAAGCATATGGCTAAGCCATATAGTTGTTCATGGCTAATTAAGTTCTGTAGTTGTTGTGGTCCACATGATCCTTATGCTTGCAACTTCCATAGTAGTTGTTCATGGCTAAATAACATCAAGAGGCAAATCTAATTTAATGACAATAAAAAAGGTGCTTGAAATGTAGTAGTATGCTTTAATTTTACCTTAACCAGAGGGAATTGGAGGATAATTGCTGATGGATTTTAAAAGACTTGAGAGGAGAAGCCTGTGGTAGCCTCTGCAGCGTCCTCTGCAGCTTGAAGAATGATATGAGGATGCTTAGTTTCAGCCGAGGCACCTTTTTGAATAATGGGTGTTAGCTATGATGGTGTTTGGTAGTAAGCAGTATGCTTACTGCTTGATACAAAACTGTTATTGATCAAACACTTGGTGGTAAGCCTGGTTTTTGAGAAGTACTGGTCAGTAAGGCTGGTAACGATGCATTCTGACCAGAACATGCTGATCTACATGCGGTACTAAGTTGGACCAGTAAATACTGGTTCATATGGTTTTGGATGGTTTATAATTCTCTCTCTATTTGCAGGAGTGAAAGGACAGCTTTAGCTCCAAGCAACAGGCAGGTGTCCAAGGAAAAGCAGCTGAATAAGTGTAGAATTGAAGAATGACCTTGTTTGTTGACCAGATAACAAAGGAACAAAATAGTTGGATGTAGATTTCCTAATCCCTGATAAAAGCTCCAACAGATTCAGGGTTTATCTAACTTATTTGGGTGCTGTTTTAAACACATTAATCGGCTAAATGTCTTAATAATAAAATTTAACAACCTGCATAGGGCTGCGTTGCAGACAACTGTATCAATCTCTACAGTCACCACAAATATTACTTATGTTTTCTTGGAATGAGCGACAAGTCCAATTATCATATATATTTATTTTTCAGGTTTTGACTTATTTTCATTGAGATAGCAATTATTTTTTATTCATTTTATACTTGTGGTCCAAATTAGTTATGTGGAAAACAAACACTGTAAGCTATGTTTTCCTAGATGTTCTTGATATAAGAATTCTGGTATGGCTTCATTTACTTCTCTCTGCTTTTTTTATGACACTTGTTGTTGCTGCAGATGTTAAAGTGGCTGTTAAGAATAAAGTTCCACTTGTGCGCTCATTAACATTAATCTGGGTTACATTTTGTATTGAGACAAACAATAAAGCAACTATTCTCAAATTGCACAAGGATTATGTGCCTGTATTTTTGGAGGTCAGCAAGAAATAGCATTTATTAGTTAACACAACAACACCATACGTAATTAAGTGGTTGTTACATCTGTTGCTATTTATGGGTACAATATTCTCATTGAAATTTGCAGAGCCTTAATGATGGTACCCCTGAAGTGAGAGATGCAGCTTTTGCTGCATTGGCTGCTATAGCTAAGGTGCTTATATTTGAGAGATGTCTTTCAACGTTTTTATTGGTAGTTAGTTTAGGACGTTCTTATTGCTTTGTTGTTCTAGATGGTCGGCATGAGACCTTTAGAAAGGTCATTAGAGAAACTTGATGATGTCAGAAAAAAGAAGCTTTCTGATATGATTGGAAGTTCTGGTGGTGCTGAGGCCTCGACATCTGGATCAGGTGTGAAAATCTTGTTATATCCTTGTTAAATTTATAGTAGTTAGCTTTTTCTTTTTTGAAGTTTTGTCATAGTTTCTTTGACTCTTTGTTGCCAGCTCCAACTTCAAATTCAAGTGCTAGTATATCCAGTCATGGGGTAAACTTTTTTTCATATTACCCTTTCACGATCATGTTATTTCCATTATTGTTTTGTCTGCTTAACCTCACTCTGAAATGCAACAAGTTAAATGTTTGCGGTGATTAACCATATCAATATGTTTTTTTATATTCATGGTTTAATTGGAGTACATAAAACTAGATTCTTTGATCGGAAACTTGTTAGCCATGCTGCAAATGATATGATACTCAAATGACATGATAAACAAATGAAAAGTACATTTCATAGTATGACCTCCTTGATGATAGCTTTATTAATGTAGATAAGATGTTTTATGGGGTTGGTAATGGTTGTGATCGTGGAGAGAACCATTGTGGCGGTTAGGGGAAGTTGTAAGGGCAAGTCAGAATGGTGTCTTGTTCTCAGGTTGCTGTGATAGTCTCATTTTGTCAGATTTTATGGACTTGTTTTGGAAATAAGTTCATGTACATTTCAGACAATTGGTAAATGGTTTTGAACAAAAATGTTCTGAAAAACAGAGATTTTGTCATTTAGGTAACTTTATCCTCCATGACTATTATCTTTTTCTACATTTGTTCGAGTTGGATTTCTTTGGTTTTTACAACTCGTGTATGCTTGGGGCTCATCTTAATGAAATTCTGGATTGTGAATAGGTATCTTCACAATGATGCTGAAAAGATCAGTGATAAAATGTTTTCCGTTAACGAGCTTGCAAATGGTGTTAATATTTTGGTCCCTACTTTAGAGCATAGGTAAATAGAGGCCAGGCAAAACAGAAAGATAATATGAGAAAACAGCAAAGACAACTTAACAAGAGAGAGAAGATCTGAAAAAGAAAGAGCAAGGTAGAGGGATAAATTAAGGCAACCTAGATGTGCATAGTTTTACATTTAATCTTTCTTGCACCATGTTTAAGCCTTCCTTTTTTCTCCCATGGTCTAGTTGGTGGTGGTTGAGAATTTGGTCATGAGACTACAGATTGCTTGCTCCTTTGGTAACTTTCAAGGATTATTTCTTTAGCAAATTGAAATTCAGTCAATATTGAAGTTCACTTCTAATAGGTTATACATTTGGTCCAGTTTTGGGAAGATCATGATTTTACTGAATTATGTATATGCATGTGTCAGTTATTTGTGTATGTGGAACTATGAAAAAGCACTTTGGACATACAAATTAAAAAAGAAACTGTATTACTATCTTCTTTGTCTATCATTAATTGTTTTAAGTCTCAGTTTGAGGCCTGTGGTCGCTAGCTGGATCGATGTATGCCAGTTTACTAGTTGGCACTGACTGAAGAGAAAAAGGGTGGGAAGTAGGGAGGAGAAGGAGAAGAAGAGTAGAAGAGGAGGAAGATGAGGTGAAGGGAGAGGAGGTGAACGGTTTGATGTACTAGAGAAGGAGGTAGCAACAACAATGAGGCGGTGGATTTGCGTTGGTGAGGTGGCAGGGAGGAGGAGAAAGGGAGAGTGATAAAGAGAGAAAGAAAGGGTGCAGGCTGGACATGGGAGGAAAGATTAAGAACTGCAATAAAAAATGATAGTGTAGTGGGTGGTTGACTTGACATTCAGCACCCCTGGTATTAACAATTAAAATCGGATGGTAAACTTAGTTTGGTAAAGTTAAAGGACATTCACCTCTGTTCTGGACTGGACCAGTTGATTTCATCCCTTTTTCTGGTTGGATCAGTAAACACTGATTAGTATGGATTGGTCCCATCTGATCTTTTTTCCTTGATTGTCACTATCTTTTATGCCTAATCTGTCTACATCAATTATTTTCAGATCTGTCAATCTTTGCATGTCTAAAAGACTGCAGCTTATGATTTAACCAAATAACATTCAGGGACCTGGTAGATACTAGATTCTGAATTCCAAGTGATCTGCTTCTCCTCTCTTTAACTATTACTAGTGATCATTGATCAGTCAATCTGAGAGCTGGTTGTGAAAGATTTTGGAATCCTGTGAAGAAGCATAAATTATTACTTCAAAAGATGACTCCTTTCAAACATATGGTCGAACTATGAAGACTTAGAAGCAAGATTTGCAGTTTTGGGTTCTGCATCCATGCTGGTCCATGAGTCCATGACCATACTAGTATGGTCCACACCAGGGTTCTCTATTTTTCCTAGTATGAAATGGGTGGTATGAGTGGTATGTGGATAGTCTCGTTTCAGGTTGTCCAATCCAACCCAATAAAAGTCCTTAAAACTTAAAGCTTAAATTAGGGCTTGCCAACGTGAGCCTTTTCTTTCAGGGAGCATGTAACCGACATCGCCGTTGCAGTCATTTGCCGCTGCCTACCTCCCCAGTATGCTTCCTCTTCTTCTCTTTCTCCTTTTCCACCTCCATTGCTTCTTCTTCTTCCTTCTTGCTCCTCCACTGCTTCATCTTTTTTTTCCCTTCTTACTCTTCCTCCAGCTCCTCTTCTTCATTCCTCTTTCTCCTTTGTCCTCTTCCTCCACCACCTCCTCCCTCTTACTTCCCTCTTCCTTTTTATTCCTCCTTCTCTCTCTTCTTCCTTCATTGTGGTTTCCTCTTCTTCTTCTTCAAAACATCGGTATGTACTGGTGCCTATACGGCGAAACCGATCAGGATGTATTGATCCGACCAATGATTGGTATGGGTACAATATGTGACTGTACGCTGGTATATATAATGGTACCGAGTGGTTTGAAGGGGAGATGTGGTGGGGGAGACTGAAGAGGAGTACCAAACACCCGTGATTTGATGGGCTTTTGTGGCGACGAGTGGTGGATAATGGAGAGTTGCAGACAGTGTCAACTCGTGTGCATTGCGTACAATTGCTAACCCTAAGTGATGTTTAAAAATATCTAAACGAGACTGGATTGTCCAAAAAGAGGCGGTTTGCATTAGGATTCACAATATATATAGGCAGGTTTGAACCAATCCAGGTGGTTTTGCAATTGCTGCTTGGAAGTATGGAAACCTTGAAACTTCTCATTCAAAATCAATGATGGATGACTTGGATGGGATATTGGCATTATAAAGTGATATCTGTTTAGACTACAGTGTACAGATACCAAACTTTAATCCTCTTTGTGATTTCTTTTCTATTCACCAATTCGTAATCTCTTAGCTTGATCTATCGTGTAGAGCCATCCAAATTGGTTGAATTTGTTTGGATTTGCAATTAGAATTTAGAACTAATTTTTTCAAGGTGTTGATTCAATTCACACTATCCATTTTATTTTTATAAAATGCATTTTCAAGCTGTCATGGAAAGGACTGAAAATCTGTTCCTAGTAGGTCATATAGCTCACACCTGATGGTGTTGATTTTCCAATGTGTGCTCCATCATTGATTTTTAATGGGAAATATAGACATGTATTGTTAGAATATCGTAGTCAAAGTTGTTGAAAATCTAAGGTGTATTGAGGCATCAAGGTCACAGGGAGCTAGGCACCAGACTTGCGCTAAGATGTACTCCTTGTTTGAGCAAGGCATGCAACAAAACTATAAGTTACTCATGTAAAATAATTTTAAAAATCTAGACCTAAGAGGTAATTGTCATCATTAGTATCTAAGTAACCAAAAAGAATTGGTTCCTTTGCAGAAAGGGTATTGGTGGTAAAAATATAAGGAACACAACAAAAGTTCCAACAATGAAAGAACGACACAAAAGATTAAATGAGGGCGATTAACTGATATGTCTCAACTCATTTGTTCACTTTCTTCTTTGTTTTCAGCGAAAGATAAAGTTCCCCATCATTTGGCTTTCTTAAAGTGCTAAACTTAAATATATTTTATGAATAAAACTAGTATGATCTCTTGTGCCACATAGTTATCATTGTGGCTGATGTCTGACGCAGATAAAACTAAAGATTATGGAGGTATGCTTTTTAGGCAGTAGTCCTTTTCCAAAAAACCAGCCTGAGTGGCAACTCATCAATGATTATGACTGTCAATTTGAAGTGAGGCTTTAAACATTGAGCCTTAATGAGTCTCATCCCTTATTATGCCCAAGGAAAGATTTTGATATTGCTGATCCTAGTTGAACTCTCTCTCCTTGTATTGCTCACGCCCTGGTCACATTCATGTGAGGACCAACTTATCCAGTTATTTGTTTAAGTTTTGTAGTGAAAGCATTGGAAGTGGGAGTCTCTTGCCTCAGCTTTTCTTATAGCTATAACATAACCATGCATGTGAACAACTCAGCTACTTCATCAGAGAAGAATTAGCTAAGCCGCTCACTGTTGGCTGTTCTTGTGAGATGTGTCTTATTTGTTTGCTTATCTTCATTTCTTTCCTTTCATTTCTTTGCATATCGATATTCTTTTCTATATAAATATTTTCTTGTGCAAGATGCATCTTATTTGTTTGCTTATCTTTCATTTCTTTCTTTTGATTTTCTTTTGCATATGGATATTCTATTCTATTTAAATATTTTCTTAATCAGATAGTTAATTCTGCAAACCTTGACTTCTCTTTAGCTTTGTACTTTATGCTCTTCTTCATTAATACTTTCACCAAGGCAGATTTCTTCAATACTCCTGTGGTTTATTATATATTTGTCCATGGAGTCATTTCTTTTTCATTTTTTCTTTGATCAATTTTTATTCTTCCAGAGTACACAAACTGAAATATGATCAATTGCAGTGGTATTAAATGCCTTTTTAATGGGTAATTGCTTGAACCAGATAGGAGGCTGTATTATATGTTGGTGATTCACCTGTTTAGTAACATCTTTTGTTGTGCACTCGAAGAAAAAATTCTTTGCTTCACATATTGAATAATATTGAACTATAAAACCATTTTCCTTTCTTAACCGATGATGTGCAATTCTGTTTTCAGCTGTAATAGCCAAGCTTCCTTTTTTACTTTGCATCTCTTTTGTACCATGAATGTATGCAATAACTCATTCATTAATATGTAATGTAAACATGTAATTATGTTCCTAGCCGTTGCATTTAATAGGGTGCTGATAGCTCATTTGTGAAGAGATCTGCTGCAAGTATGCTTAGTGGAAAGAAGCCTGCCCAAGCAGCAGTGAGTTATGATGAAACTAATGGAGTATTAAACTACTAGAAGTATTTGACTGAATAATTTTGTTTAATCAGTTGGCTAACAAAAAAAGTGCCGCAATAAAGACTAGTGTGAAAAAGGCTGATGGGGTTGGGCAATCAAAGACTTTTGGATCAGTTGAGACTGAAGATGTTGAGGTAATTTGTCATTGTGAAACTGAATAATTTGATTTTAAAATTGAAAACATCCTTTTCTGGAAAGAATGCAGTACCAAAAGAAAAAATAATGCACAATTTTTTTGTTTTTAAAAACATCTATTTTTTACAATGTCATCTGTTTGGATGGGATTTTTGTTGGCCTGTTATGTGATAGTGTTGACTTATCTTTTCATTTACTTGATCTATAACAGCCAGGGGAAATGAGTTTGGAGGAAATTGAAGGGAAATTGGGTTCTCTCGTAAAGGCTGAGACTATTTCTCAACTAAAAAGTGGTGTTTGGAAGGAACGCCTTGAAGGTTCTTTTATCACTATCACTTGCCTACTGTTTTGTTCCTTTTTCCCCATAGAATTAGTTGACATGAAGCGACACTCTGTATTTATGTATTTTCACTTTAAATTTCATGGTATCTTGTAGTCTTTTTCAATACCTGCATTTTACATTATGCTAATGTTGTAATTAAGATTCCCTTCAGTTATGTTAATTCCCTTGAACAGTTGGAGAAGTTTCTTGTGATGTTCTTTGCCATATGCATAATTTCATATGTTGTAGCAAAGGAATTGTCTATCATATTATTTGTCATACAACTAGAGGATGATCTTGTTTCAAACAATGAGCATATGTATGCTAGCTTGTTCTGTTCTAATTCTCTATTGAATTATTAAATCTGCAGAATTATCTGTTTAAACGTTCTTAAAACCACATAATTCCCGTGGCAACAGTGTACCTTGATTGCAGTTGCTGCTTAATATAATCTCATACTCAACATGCCTGTAATATTCTCGCTGTGGCCTGTAGGTATGATGTTCTGTGGACTCTATCCTAGGTATATTCTTGTCACTTGGCATGGCATACAACAATTACATGCCCATTTTGGGCCCACACTTCTCCACTTTCATATGCAGTTCCTGAAGTTTTCGATGTATTTGCATGAAATTTTAGTTTACCATTTTTTTATAGTACCTTTCTGCTTCAATTGTTCTTTATTGCTTAAAATTGTCATAGTCATCATACATGTCTTTGCTTTGTAAAACAAAAAACAGAATAGTGTTTATATTGGTCAATTCTTGTTTTTTCTAATTTTCAATCTTTGCTTTTTAAGATTAGGTAACCTTTTGCTATACCATTTATATAAATGTTGTTTTCTGATCTGCCTTATGTGTTGTTTGCTTGTCTTATCTATGCAGGTATTTTGCTTTCATATAAGAGGATTAACCTTCTATGCATTTTGTATCTTATTTATGATTCTTTTATCAATTCGTATGATAGAATATCAATGTCTTAAAGTTCAAATGTGCACAAGGATTTTATTTTGGGCTCCAAGTTTGGGCTGACATTAGAGCATCCTATGCGTTCCATGCACGATCAACTGAATACTGAACAAGCCATGCTTTTGGCAGCTATTGGCTTACTGAAGCAGGAGATTGAGAATATCCAGGATCTTGATCAGTCTGCTGAGATTTTAATTCGTTTTCTATGTGCTGTTCCTGGATGGAGTGAGAAAAATGTGCAGGTAAATTATACACGAATCTCAGAAAGCTAGCCACCAACTTATGATCCTTCATGTATATTATGCAATATAGTTTTTGTGCAACAGGTTCAACAACAGGTCATTGAGGTTATCACATACATAGTTAGCACTGTGAAAAGATTTCCAAAACGATTTGTGGTGCTGTGTCTTCTAGGTATGCAATAAGCGTTTACCATTTTCTTGATTTTCCATAACATGGAGTCAAAAAGCTCATTTGAGTTGGTCTATTTGAGGTTCGGAAGCTCATAAGGCTTGGCCTTGCCCTGACATGAATGTGCCCCAACTCAATGTTCCTGGGCTGGTTTGCAGGCCCATTACCTACCCTAGTTCTAGTCCAAGTCATCATTTTTTGTTTAGTTTTGAAGCATATTAATATTTGGAATGAGAATGGATAACACAGCTGACAAAAGAATAGATAACTAAATATTTTCTTTTCGACTGTCATGTGACTTTCGATAAGTGGTTTGGTATTTCGTCTTATATTTATGCCTAATATTTTATGATTACTGATTTGGCAATTTTTGAGAGATGCATCATGTTGACAGGCATTAGTGAAAGGGTTGCAGACATTAAAACACGTTCCCAAGCAATGAAATGCCTTACTACTTTTTCCGAGGCAGTTGGTCCAGGATTTGTTTTCGATAGAGTAAGTAGATTGCTGTAGTTTTTGAATTAACTTTGTTTTTTCCTTGTTAGACTTAAACACTCACATGCTGTTTCTATGACATTTAAGCTCTTCAAAATCATGAAAGATCACAAGAATCCCAAGGTTCTTAGTGAGGGTATTTTATGGATGGTCTCCGCAGTTGAAGATTTTGGAGTTTTGCATATAAAGTTGAAGGTGCTATTATGTTTTTGTTATCTCATCAGTGGTTTCCAGAAAACTTGTCTTTATATCTTTAAAATCAATTCTGGGATTGCAGGATTTAATTGATTTTTGCAAAGACATTGGGCTGCAGTCCAGTACAGCTGCAACAAGGAATGTAACAATTAAACTTATTGGAGTCTTACATAAATTTGTTGGTCCAGGTAACTTGTCTTCGATTTGTCAGTTTTTTGTTGGTCAGGACTTTAACAGTATTTTAGTTTTTGCTTCCTTGCAGATATTAAAGGCTTTATGACTGATGTCAAGCCTGCTCTTCTAAGTGCACTAGATGCTGAGTATGACAAAAACCCATATGAGGTACAAAATAAAGGGCAGAAGATGACCATATTCTTGGATCTCTTTGAATCACTACTGCTGGTACTTATTATGTTAATTGACAGGGTTCTGCTGCAGCTCCTAAGAAAACAATAAAAGCCTTAGATTCTGGGTCATCTATTTCTGCTTCTGGGTCTGATGGGCTGCCACGTGAAGATATTAGTGCAAAGATGACACCCAATCTTTTGAAAGATATAGGAAGTCCTGATTGGAAAGTATGAGTTTCATAGATCTTAGTTAATCTTTTATTACAGTCATCATTATTGTTATGCAGCCTGAATATTGTTTCACTGGGTCTATAGGTTCGTTTGGAGTCCATCGAATCTGTTAACAAAATTGTGGAAGAAGCACATAAACGTATCCAGCCTGCTGGAACTGGTATATTTCTGTCCATATGATTAATTAATTTACTAAAATTTTCAAATTCATTTTGATCTCAATGTCTATTGTGACCCTTCAATTACCAGTGGAGTTGTTTGGTGCTCTTAAAGGCCGTCTATATGATAGCAATAAAAACTTGATAATGGCAACATTGGCTACCCTTGGTGGTCTTGCATCTGCAATGGGTCCTCCTGTTGAGAAATGTAGTAAGGTAGCGGTGAACTCTCAACTTTTTGTTCTTCAATCAAGGTACATTTATGCCTTGTTGATGTGATCACTTTCTTTTTTTATAAAGGGAATTCTATCAGACGTACTGAAATGCCTTGGTGATAACAAGAAGCACATGAGAGAATGCACTCTAAATACTTTAGACTCATGGTGTCTTGCTGTTCATCTTGATAAGATGGTACTTTTGAGTCCATATGATTTTTTACTTAATTTCTCCACTATTTCTCACTAACATGTTTGTCTGCTGCATTTTTTTCTAGGTTCCTTACATCACAGTTGCATTGGCTGAATCTAAACTTGGTGCAGAGGGGCGAAAAGATCTTTTTGATTGGCTAACGAGGCATTTATCAAAGGCCAATGATTTATCTGATGCTTCACACCTCTTAAAGCCAACTGCTACTGCTTTGACTGTGAGTCAACTTACAGATGACCAGTTACACTTTCTTTGAGAAAGATGTATCATAAATAATATATGTTTGCTTTGTTTAGGATAAATCAGCAGAGGTTCGAAAGGCTGCTGAATGTTGTTTGGGTGAAGTTTTGAGGGTTTGTGGACAAGAGGCAGTATGTGAACTTTGCATCAACTGCTTTTAACCTTACCTTTTCTCTTCCACGCCATGATGGCATGGATTACTGACATAACTTTTTTTGTGTGTTTATAACTGAGTAGGCTATCAAATGCATGAAGGAACTCAAGGGACCTGGGCTGGCTCTTGTACTTGAGAGGTTAAAGCCTTCTGGGTTGACTGAAGGTATATCCTATTTCAAGTGTACAAGAATAACAACCAAACCATAAATTTGGGGTTGGTTACACGGATATTTTGCTACCTTTTCGCCATTAGGATTTGTAAAAGACTATATGTCTTGTTAAGAGTATTTAAATCTTTATTTGTAGTCTTTATTAAAGTTTTTTTAGTCTTTCCCTACCTCTCCTCATAACACTAACAATAACCATTTTATCTCTTCTAAGTACCACATCTCTGTCTCTTGAACAATTCTTTCTCAATTTATTCTCTCTGTTGATGTGATACCCAGTTGATCATGAATAAAAACATTTTTTTTCCTTATCTTTTCTAATACTCCACACTTCCATACACCACACTCAGATCTTATTGCTAGTGTCATGTCTTAAATTTACTTTTCTTGACTTTGCTAAATGCATTCCAATTTTGCCTATGTTTGCCTACTTCCGAAATTTTAGATTCCACAAGATCTGTTTCTGGTGGTCTGGCTTCGAGATCCACCATAAAGAATGGAAAACCAGGATCCAATATCAGCAACGACCGTGGCTTGAGACATGGCATGAAGGCTACAACAATGGTGTGTTCTTCTTCCTGGTCATAAGATAATTTTACATGGAATGCTGCTTATCTTAATATTTTTGTTTTGGCAGAGAAGTGTTCCATCAAGGGCTTCAAAATTTGAACCTTTTGTTTCTGCTCAAGATCTTGCAGTCCAGTCACAGGCTTTATTTAACATCAAGGACTCAAATAAGGTGTATTTCCATGGAAGAGATAATGTTGATATGTTGCTGAGATTTCAGAATTTTATCTTTTCTGTCGGGTACTTTGCAGGAAGATAGGGAGAGGTTTGTTGTTCGTAGATTCAAGTTTGAGGAGCCACGTGTTGAGCAAATTCAGGATATGGAGGTTTGCATCTCAAAATAAATCTTATCTTAATGTGAAGGTTATTAAAAGCTGTCAGACTGATATTAGTGTTGGTATTTATTGATCTGACCAATTATTGGTGTTGATACAAATGTACCAGACCAATTAATTTATGGTACATTTATAATTTTTTTATTTTTTATTATTTATCCAATGATGCCTAGAGGTATGGGTTGGTATACTATCTGGTAATTGGTACCATGCTGATCTGATAGTTTACTGAAACTAGATTACCAGTATTTAAACCCTTGGTTGAATACAAGTTAAATCATAGGCTACCTGTATTGAAATACCAGTTAAATCCTTGGTTAAATTCTAGGTTACGGTATTTAAATACTGGTATCTGATGCTGATCTGATAGGTTACTAGTATTTAAATCCTTAGTTAAAGTTTTCTTGTGTTTGTCTCATATTGTTATATCTATAAATCTCTATCGGGAACCACTAGATGCTACTCCCATGAGTTTGTGGTACTCTTTGTCCCTGAGATAACATGGTTTATCTGAGCATGAAATTGGACAGGATGACAATCAAGGTAGGATTTAGGTATATATGTCAGTGCATCTATTTTGTTGACAACATTAAATGTCAATACATATATCAATTTAGTTCTGTCAATATCTCGATGTCTAAACATCCCAACATATAAAGGATTTTGAAAATATCTGTATTGATTGTTTGGACTTTGGAATATTCATTTTAATTGTTTTTCCTTTTATTTGAGCATTCATCCTTTTCTGTTTTACTTGCTTGTAAGTCTTCCTATTCCTCTCAAATGAATAGATAAGTTTGAGTTAATTCTTTTATTAGTCGTTTGGTAAATTCATGAGTACACATCCATATCAAAATTTACTTTGGATCTGTATTTCTCTTGCATCCATCTTTAAACTGTCTACAATTTAAAGAAATATGGTTGCAAAATACAGTTGCTGTCCAATACTCCAACCTGAATGCATAGAAGCAGAGAGATGTTTTTATCACACCCAATTTATCTTTGCCCATATATGAACCAGCAAGAATCTATTCATGCAAAGTGGTCAATAAGTTAGAACTGCTTACTAACATTTGGCTATAAAATGTACTACTGGGAACATGTATCCAGTGGGCCCCTGTTCATAACGTCTTGAGAATTTCCTTAATTTGTGGCTTCACGCAGTGAAGGCCTCAAAGTATAACTGATGGAAGTCCAACAATACAATACCTAAGTGTAGATTAGTGGTCTGTATGTTTCTCATAATATTCATGTTGTGCTGATGGGCATTGATGTTTGCCGAGATTCCATCTTAGTATACAGGTCAATCCCATTTTATGTGGGTTTTCCCCTTCATTTTAGGAGACTTGTAAAATTGAATCTGAAAGTAATGCACTGGCAGTGATTTAAAAAGCGCTAGGCGCCAAAAGGCGCCAAGGTCAAAAAACGCCCGAGGCGCTAGGCGCTCGCCCGAGCGAAGCGAGGGCGC